GCGCTGGCTCCCCAACCGCCTCCTAACCAGGAACGCGGGCTCGGCGCCCCGGGGAGCCTCTCCCGGCCCTATTCCTCACAGAAGTGGTAAATTGTTCCCTCTAACCGTGTAAAATGGTGCCCTGCTCCAAGCCAGGATTCCAAGAGCCTTCTGCTTACCCCCCTGCCCCACAAATCACTTCAAATCTTCCTTCTTGGTACCCTTCTCTCACGCCACAAATTTGTCAGCAACCTATTGCAATAGCCTCGCCAAATCTTATACAACCTTTTCACTATAGCCCCGTTAAAAGTCTGGTCACTGTTCCTTCAATGTGTTACCACCAGTTAAAATCACACAGAAAACTCTGGTGTTGTCTCATTTCCAACTGCTAAGTCTCATGGTGGTATGGTGGGAGGCTGGCCTCAGGAACAGGCAACTGTCCATTATTTTAGAACATTAAAGGAAGCGTAAATTAAACCATGCATCAAATTTTCAAAAATATATGTGGGGGGAAAAAAAAGGGATAGTGTGGGATCCCTATGAATCTTAAGACCAATGCTTGGGCAGGCCATTCCTGCAGGGTAATCTCAAACGCACAAGCATGTAAATGCCCTAGGCTCTATACCACAATTATCCCCAACATTCCCTGCATTTAATGATCTTGTCCCTCCACAGATAGTTTCACATATGCAAACCTCCACACAATATCACTGCTGTAAAGGCTTGGAGTATAGGATTTGAAACATGCTAGGGAGTAAAAATAAATAAACAAGAAAAATTAAAAAAACTTTTCTGAGTAAACTGACCTTTTTTTTTTTCTATTAGAGTAACATGGAAATTGTTCTTGGGGATGGGAGTGGGGCTTCAAGGCTTAGTGCTTTTGCAGGGCTGAGTTTATTGCACCTGCCAGAGACTCTGCATTCCTTCAGCAGGTCAAAATCCATGCCAAACTGTCATCATTTCAGTAAAAATCACGGGCATCGCTTCAGTGAATTCTTCACAAAAATCACTTTAGTAAATCACTCAATATTCATCCCCTCAGAAATAACGTATGGCCTCTTCTCCCAAGACAAACATTCATTCTGCTCCTGTGCCAGTAGCTCTGTATGTTCCCTTGTATTTTTCTCCTTGTGCTTTTCTTGCCTCTATCAAGCAGCGTCTCCTGCTCCTCTTGCTCTATTACCCTTTCATTACAAATCCAGTGTCCCTGTTGACCACCAAGGGCCAACAGCCATCTCGTCTCCCGCCTCCAGAGGACGTGGCAGAGCTCTGTCTTGTTCTTGCCTTTTGCCTTGATTTCACTCCCGTGCTTTCCTCCTTTTCCCTTGCCTTTCTGCCTCTTGCTGGACTTCTCTTTGGCCTAGGTCTTCTTCATGTCTCTCCTCTATTTCCATACCAAGTCCCCCAGCTTCCCACTAGCTAGGACCTCTGTGCATACGCTCCTCTGGACCAACTGGGCAAGCCAGAAACATAATCATGCTGCGAAGTATTGATGGCATTAGATGCAGAGCAGTGACAAAACTGAGATTAGACTAAATATGTTTCCTGGCATCTCATGCTTCCCCTCCCCCCCCCCTTTTTTCTGTTTGTTTTCAGTATCTTGTCTCCCAAACCAATATGCCTAACATTTTATCTGTTTGTTATTTAAAAAAAAAAAGAGTAATTAACTTATTCCACTACTTGAAAAGAAACAGATACAAAAATGCCAAGATACCAAAAGGCCTTTGAGGGGCAGACCAAAGTATCTATGTTGAAGAAGCATAAAGAAGCTAGAAGATCATGATCTGAAAATCACATTTAGTATTCAGAGAACACATACACCCATCCAAAAGCTATGGCTACATGCTATGTAGAAGAAAGGACATAGCAGATGGAGACACAGAAAAAAATAACAGTCATAACGAAATTTCACATTATATTCAATATATTTTATCTTTTTTTTCCCCCAAGAATTTCAGGATGCCATTGGTTTTACGTATGATCGAATTGTGGATATTTGTCTAGGGAAAGCTATGAATTTTGACAGATGGGTAGGGGGCAGTTGGGGCTTCTGGTATCCAGGAAGGTGTAGGAGGTGGCTTTGTTTTTTTGGCAGACAGGACATTGAAAATTATGGCACTAGGGAAGCGATTCTTTTCCACATCCTGCCTAAAGGACTGTTCCTTCCATTTGCAACTAACTAGTGATAAAGAGATATATCATCAATCTAGTGTAACATGCAGGTGGGCTAACGCTTCTTTCTCCCAAAGGTATTTTTCAAAACCACATCTATATTTTTACAAAGGAATATCATATATACATATATGTATATTAGTGTATATACACATATGTGTATGAACACACATGAAAATGTGTATAAATAATACATAAAGTGTAACAGGAATAATTCTATTTTATGTTTTTGGGTGTGTGTATATATGCATTTATATTACATATATTTCCAGTTAGTGTCACGTCTCCCAATTAATTTCCCCAAGCACTATTTGAAAATCAATTATCTACCCCCTTTTCTGAGCAGCCCTATATAACCAGGAGCCTAAGACGGCACCCTTGAAATTGGGCCCTTTAAACATATGTTAGCATTTCTTTTGTAATCAAGAAAAATCCTACGTGCCCTTATCAGCATGAACAGCACTTGTTGGACGCTCAGCTGTCGGGAAGCCAGACAAGCACCAAAGATTGTTATTTACTTGGTTTTGGACACTTTGGGCTCTTCTTTTTTAACTCTTGGTGTATGTATCAACATCCTCTTCTCCTGCCAGCTCAGCTACCGCTGCCACGGAGCGATCTCCCTGTGCTACGTCCATGTTGCGCTCACCCATGCGCAGGGCCATGCCGGAACAGGCACCGCGAGCCGCGCGTCACCTCGCAGCGGCCAGAGCAGCAGCGGCCCTAACTAAATGTTACTAAACGCTGCTGTGCAACCACGCGGCTCCCTCCGCAACTCAACGGCCGCTTTAGTTATGGAACATTCCTCCCGGGAAAGCGCAGCGCTCAACAGCACCCAGTGCCGGCTTCCCCGCGGCGCCCTTCCCAGTGACCCCGCGCGGCGGAACAGGGAGCCCCTGTCACG